GCTTTTGAAGTTGATTCTTGACCTGTGACTGTGAGTTTTTAATTTTCTGATGATTTTTATTGATTTTCTTTTCGTAATTTGTTTATTCTTTTGAATGTATCTTGTTTTTCCTGGACCTCTATACAAAACCATCGGGGTACTGAGGGAGATATTTTAAGCTTTTGCTTCTCCCTCAAATAGAAATGGTTTTGTTTTTAATGGCTACCGGGGCCGGTACCCCCTGAAGACGTCGGCTTCGGTGGTCATATTTTTATTTTATTTCATTTGTTTTGTATTTGTTACAATATAATATTCTAATACCAAAAAAAGTACTTACGTAGCGTGAAAATATCTTTTGTGATGTAACTCTTTCAAAAGTACATAAAAATGGTTGCCATCAGGGGTGAACATGTAGATTTATTAAATACTCCTTGGGCGCCACCTAGGAACCAAATCTAGAACCCGACACTCGAAATTTTTGCTCTGTTACAATCGTACCTTGTTGCAATTGACCCCACTCTCCCCTATTCCTAATATGAATACTCGTTTTTCCGCGTTAAACCAAAACAATTAAACAACCATAAAAAAGATAATAATCAAACTGAAAAATGGTCAACCGGCCACCTTAGGGAGCTATTTTTTTTTCGTGCTGTTGAGGTTTATACTATAGCAGAAAGGGCTAATTGGTGAATTTCATGTCCGGCTGAACAAGTTCGAATACTAGGTTTGACACCATGATATTCCTTCTATTCTTTCAATACATCTTTCAATACATCATCAGTTTCCAGTATCCTACACTCTTCAATTGGTGACCCTAGACTATTAGAAAACCAAACTATAATTCAGACATAAATGGTACTGCATCCACGGAACTCAAATGTCCAGTTAAGCATTATTTCATGCATGGTTTGGGATCTATGCGAGATAAAAGGATCACAAAACCGTATAGTTTTGTTCTGACGATTTTTTAACCTTACAAGTTGTAAACAGTTTCTAGACCTTAAAGGTAAAGAACTGTGCCTAACCATATGCTGCTTTATGGTTTATCAAATGGACAGATTGCTGTCGGTTATTTTACAGTAATTTCAAAATTAAAATTCAGTGTGGTTCGATTTCTTAATTCGACGTTAAAATATACTTGCTATTTCGGACTCTGCAACCTTTGAAAATTTTTTAATTATATGCCAATATTTTCAAAAATATGAATGTATTGAACCTAGTACCTTCGGCAGCTTTGTTCTGCAATCTTCTCGCCCATATCGTTAATACAACATTAATAAATTGTCCTCCAACATAGGTTTTGTCTTCTGAAAGATTCTTTCCACTCACTCAAATAAATATAATTTTTATCAAAAAAACAAAATAATATTTAGTGTTACTATCCGAAATACATGAGTTTAATTTTTTTCCCTTTAGTTTTTATCCCAATTCTTTAAAAATGAAACTGTACTTTTTTTATTAATGACTACTCTTCTAGTTTGAGACTCTCGCGCTGTTGAATTTAATGGTAGAACTGTATCCAAATTTTAATTTGGAGATAGTTGAAAAACGCTTTGATTTAATAAATTCTATAATAGTTCAAGTATTTAGTCGAAAAACGCTTTGATTTATTAAATACTATAATAGTTTAAGTATTTAGTCGAAAAACGCTTTGATTTAATAAATTCTATAATAGTTTAAGTATTTAATATATAATAAATACCAGTGTAGAACGTGATTTTGGAATAACAGATATATATTTAATTTTATTATGGTCCGTCGTGGAAATATGGTATTATGGTCGTGGTTTAATTCATCGAAGCATTTTATTTTTCAAACGCTTTTTTTTCCAAGTAAAAATGATTTTATGACAGAGGCCTTCAAAAGAATAAGAATCTTAGATTGATTTTCATGAATAAATGTTTTTAGTAATGTAATGTTTTTGCCAAAAAAAAGGCTTCTAAAACAAAACATATAACCTTGTCATTATTTTCGGAGAATTCCAAATCTAAGCCTTACAAGGGGAAAAAAAGACAAGGGGGAAAAAAAGACAGATAAGAGAGCTTGCAAAAAAGAATATAAGGTTTTACCCTAGAATTAAAAAAATGATTCAATATATCAAAACAAAGGATACCTTTGTTCTTTACTACCCTTTACATTGACTTAGTTTTAAAATTTTAGCCACTTAATTTTTAATGTAATCATGAAGAAAAAAATTTGGTAAAATTACCTCACTCTATGGTTAGAGTTCTGGTAAAAAAAAAACGATATTTGTATCATTTGTATAGTAACTTTTCCTTCTTATACAAACGGTTATCTGGAAATCCTGGTTTTCAAACCTACAGTTCTCATTGCCATATATTTAGTTACACATACAAAACTGAAAGCTAAATTTAACCGAATAAATGACTTTTACCCCATGCTCTAAGACATCATGATATTACCGAATTTTGCCACACATTATAAAGCCTTATTTTATTTTTAATTTTACAAAATCATTATCAAAATACTTGGGCAAAGTTACCGAACCTTTTTGGTGTTCCCATAGAACCAGAAATGTGATAAATTTTATAATACTTTGGTAGTTCTTACCATACTTTTTTATTGATAATAATAGCGTCCTTTTTCAAGGAACTATTGTTTACTTA